TTATTTGTGTACACTGACAATAACAACAAAACATTGTGCTTTTGTAAAATAAACAAAACAAACAGGGTGCGCTTTCTGCTGTTTTGGTCTCCGTGAACTTCTTTCTGAAACGCTGTAAATACAAAAACGAACTGAAACTCGGCGAATACTTGACACACAGACGTGAGAAATATGTCTATAGAAAACTTGAAGTGTCTACTTTTAAATGAACCGATTCAAATCGAAATCGAAAACGAATATTCTCTGATTATGTAATCCGTATGAAACTAAAGCAAGGTATAGTCTTTCCCGTTTCTAGTTGGGCTTTTCCTAAACTATCTTGCCAAACTGAAATGAAAGCGACTAAAATATGCTGAAATATGATATTTACATTTAGTAATTTAGCAGACGCTTTTTATCCAAAGCGACTTACAAATGAGGACAATAAAAGCAGTCAAAACTAACAAAAGAGCAACAATATATAAGTGCAAATGACAAGTCTCGGTACACGTAGCAAGGTGTATATATATATATTATACACACACACACCAGCATCCCAGCGTCAAAACATACCTAACCAGCATATGCTGTTTTTTCAACAGGGTTGTTTTTTTTAAATAAAAAAAAAGTATAGGTAGGGTAGAATGGTAGAAGATGCTCTCCTTAAGAACAATGTGGATTTTCTTTTACATTGTAACATATTTAGATATAAGTTCAGCATGTGCACGATGATGATGATGATGCTGTATCAGACAATGCGTTCTTATAGGAAATCAGTAGAAACATTTGCTTAGTTACAGCGTAAAATGTAAAATATTAAGAGGGTTAATATGACTTACAGAGTGTAAAAATGATTTTTGATATGTTTTTATCTGCATATTTACATATTTAATTGCCCATATTTTAGTTGAAGATATGTCATAATAGCAAGACTAGTATGAATGCAAATGTAATGATTTCACTCAGTTAAACTTTAAGTTTTAATGAAAGTGAAAATGTCAGAAATGTGCATCAAATTCATGTAAATGTTAAATAAAGGGGTCATATGATGGAATTAAAATAGAATAGAAAGTGCTAGAGTTAGAGGGTCAAATATGATATGCATTCATATTTAAATAGGCAACTTATACATATAGGCTAAATATCCTACGAAATGGGGATGTAAATATTTTGCTATCATATAATAAAAATATGAGATATAATATGATATAGATATAAAGTAATGTGAATGTTTACACTGCAGCATGATGAATGTTACAGTCTAGGAATGTTTAGATGAGTGTTTACTGATCTACGATCATATGTCGATGTTTATTGTGTACTAAGCACTAAGAACTTAGTTTATTAAATATCAGAATGTTGTTTATGAACTGTGTGTTAATACAAAGCATATGTCCATGAATGACAGTACAAAATCATGTTATTTTTTGTTAGGAGTGGACAAAATTAGTATTAGTGACTGCTAATGTTGTATACATGTCAGTGTGTATGAAATATGGTACAAACTACTTTTGAGAAGTTTAAAGGGGTCATATGATGCGATTTCAATTTTTCCTTTCTCTTTGGAGTGTTACAAGCTCTTGGTGCTTAAAGAAGATCTGTAAAGTTGCAAAGACTAAAGTCTCAAATCCAAAGAGATATTCTTTATAAAAGTTCAGAGTCAGCCACGCCCCCCTAAAACGGCTCGTTCTAACACGCCCCCACATACCTACGTCACAATGTGGGAAGATTTGCATAACGCCGCCCAAATGTTCACGCAAAGAAAGAAGGCGTAACTTGCTGGTCCTTTGCTGGTTTAAGCTGGTCCTTTGCTGGTTTATGCTGGTCCTTTGCCAGGACATGACCAGCATAAACCAGCAAAGGACCAGCATCCCAGCGTCAAAACATACCTAACCAGCATATGCTGTTTTTTCAACAGGGTTGTTTTTTTTAAATAAAAAAAAAGTTAAATATAAAGTAGAATTAAAATAGAATAGAAAGTGCTAGAGTTAGAGGGTCAAATATGATATGCATTCATATTTAAATAGGCAACTTATACATATAGGCTAAATATCCTACGAAATGGGGATGTAAATATTTTGCTATCATATAATAAAAATATGAGATATAATATGATATAGATATAAAGTAATGTGAATGTTTACACTGCAGCATGATGAATGTTACAGTCTAGGAATGTTTAGATGAGTGTTTACTGATCTACGATCATATGTCGATGTTTATTGTGTACTAAGCACTAAGAACTTAGTTTATTAAATATCAGAATGTTGTTTATGAACTGTGTGTTAATACAAAGCATATGTCCATGAATGACAGTACAAAATCATGTTATTTTTTGTTAGGAGTGGACAAAATTAGTATTAGTGACTGCTAATGTTGCAGATATTTTGCAGAGTAATTTTATTTGTTAACCAAAAAAAGGTTAATTGTTTTTATTTATTAAAATGCTTACGTATTAGTTGTTTTAAAGCAAAAAGGCTAAACTATTCCATGTTTAACTCTGACTGAAAGAATTAAGAGTTTCATTTCTATGCATCAAGGTTTATAGGGATTTTATGAAGTAATTAACAATTAAAATAATTAAGTTACTTTTCAGACAGAGTAATTTAAATACAACATTGATTATGTAATTAGTAATTAATTACTTTTTTAAAGTAACTTACCCAACACTGGACACAAGGGTCTAATTTTACCCTTTTAAAATAAAAACTAAGTTTTACTGTATCCACAAATCCCTCATTAACAAATCGATACACACACAAAAGAATGATATTTTACATATACAGTGTCATACAGTAGATCACTATTTCATAGAGACACAAAATGAGACCAGTTAACCTCAAAACTGTTTTGACTGGCTAAAACTGAAATGACAAAATCAAAAACAGCATAGTAGCCATTCATCTTACCTCGCCTTACCTACAAATGATTGGTACTTAATAGGTAGCCAGTGTAGAAATTATAAAATCGTGGTTTAGTGAAGTGACGTGTGGTCAAGTAATCCAGTGTAGAGGTCATGAATGCATGAACTGGCTTTACTGCATCAGAAACAGAAAGCACGCTCTAAACTAAAGGTAGCAGAAGGCTGTTTTTATAATGTGAAATATGAGTTTGAAAAGACAAGTTGCTGTCTAATATAACATTCATTTTTGTTCTACATTTTTCTGACATTCAACATTTCAATTTTCTCTTCATCTTTTGAAATTGTAAGTTCTACATATTTTAACTCCTAATTGCATCATTATATAATGAGGCTAATTAGAGCTCATTAATCAATTCAAAATGTAATGTATTCAACTGTAATACTGTACTGTTGCTTTTGCAAAACAAAGAGTTTAGTGCATTAGTGGGTTTTTTATAATTGTTTTTTTTTCAATTTTACTAATAATAAATGTGCTTTGTATAACGTTAATACCAGCAATAGGGCTGTTTTGACCCAGCGGTTGGGTTAAATGTTTAACCCAACCTTCTGGGTAGTAACCCAACCGCTGGGTCAAAACAGCCCAATTGCTGGGTTTGTCCCTATTTTACCCAGCACTGGGTTGTATTTAACCCAGCATTTTTTAGAGTGTAATACCACCTGATTATCACCTGAAATCTTGGGCATGTCAATTTGGGAAGACCACGGGATTATGTCAATATAAAACGTTTCGATGATATTTATAAATTTTAGTCCAAAACCAAAATGATAAAGTGTCTTAAAAATAACAGATGTCTAACCACATCAAACTTCGCAAGTACATGTCAACTTATTCTACTAACCCTAACCTAACAGTCTACTAACACTCTAATGAAGAGTTGACACGTAGTTGCAAACTTACTTATAGTTAGTAGACTGTCGATAGTTGGGAAAATGGGAATAACATCATTCCTCTAAAAAGAAAAAGAAAATTAAATAATAAAAATAAAAAAGTCAGAAGGTATATACTTCATGTAAAATTGTAACATCTCTTTTGTAATACTGTCATCAACGCATTCATCACTTCATGATTTATTAAACTACCTGTAATATTTTTCTTGACTTTTAAGATTTCAAAAGTATGAGCTATTTCACCCCCTCTCGTGTTACATCTGTGTATTCTTTGAACACTGATCATTGCTGCTTACAGCTCTATTCTTTATTTGAAGCGGAACAAATAGCTGCATGAGCATTTGGAAGAAGACACAACAGAAACGGTGAAACTGTCCTGAAGTACCAGTCCAGAAGCCATGAGCAAATGGGAGGAAACATTTGCTTTTCTTAAGTAAAATACTTATAGTTTCCATCTGAATGAAGTCTGAAATCTGTGCATGTGACAAGCATGTTTAAGTACACAATTATTAATGACATTGAAAACGACCACATTGACATTTCTCCAGATTTTTAGCTGCTATGATCCATCCAAGCTGCAGAACGTCGAGATTTAATCGCTGTTAAAGGTCTGAATCTCCAGATCAGACAAGATGTTCCTGCAACACGACAAAAAGACCCCAGAGGACCAGATTATAATTTGATTCTTGAATAATTTAATTCAACTAAAATCTCTAGGGTTGCCACAAAAGCCAAGCTTACTTCTGCTGCTCTGAGAGCTGAAACTCCTGCTGGACCCTCTGGATGAGTTTTGGGGTCTCGGGCAAACAGAAGCCAGCTGAGATCTGCACCAGCTCCACCGCATGATTCACTTCACCACTCTCCGTTATACACGTCAAGAACTTGTTCAGCAGCTCCTCACTGACAGAACAACACATCAGTGTGAACACTCAGACCATTAAGACACAAAGGCCTGGTTTCATAGACAGGGTTTAGACTAAGCCAGGATTAGGCCATAGTTCAATTAGGACATTTAAGTAATTTATTATAAATGTGCCTTAAAAAAACATTACTGGTGTGCATTTTGAGACAAAATAAAAGGCACTCTGATATATTTTAAGATCAATCAGTGTAAGTTTCTTTCAGTTGAAACAGCTCAGACTTAGATTTTAGCCTGGCATTAGGCTTAAGCCTGGTCTGCGAAACCCGGGGATAATATAATATCAAATTAATTTAGATTCTTTGTTTCAACATTACATTTAGATCCTAAAATATTGCCATTTTTTACAGTTTAGTCATTTTTCTATCTATGCTCAACTGTAAAACACTAAAGAGCTGAGGGAAACCGCCAGTCAAAATTTGAGACCCCCTGATCGTACCTTGGAACTCTGTTGTGTGTTTTGAAGAGTTTCAGTACTTCCCTGAATTAAAGGAAGAGAAAGAAATTCTGTGAGGTGCTTTAACTCAATTTGATCTGGATCACATTACAGATGTCCATTAAGGATGTTACCAGGCGTCCTGCCTCCTCTGAGCTGCTAGTAAAACAGAGATGAGGTCGCTGAGAGAAGTGGCCGTCCAGCTCATTATAACCTTGCCCCGGTCACCTGTGTCATACATTTTCTTGATGTCCAGCGCACACTCAGCAAACGACTCCTGCACCTGTCCAGAGAATATATACATGTGCATTACAAACCAGCACCATTATTGACAGACTGACATAGAAATTGGCTTTATAATCCACTGGCAAGGCAACTGAAAAGAAAGTGAAACAAGGGAGGAAGACTTGTAGAAGGCATGAGTATTAACCAGTATAGATGTAGATTAGGTAGAGGCAATACCTCCTGATTTTGCTTCTCTCTTGCCATAAGTGTCAGCAGATCTTCCACCAGCTTCTGCCTGTTGGCATGGCCCAACTGTTTGATATCTGTGGAGGAGGAAGTTATTAGAGTTGATAATACTTTAAGTATTGATACTACTAAATCTAGTACACAAAACTAAAAGCCATTTAGTGTGTTTTAAGCCATTTGGTTAATGAGGACACCATGTTTACGTTGTATAATACCCATGTTATATACCATAAACCATATATCCCAGAACACACAAAAACACATTCCAGAAATTTCATTTTTGGGTGAAATATTTCATAGTCACTCTTATTTTGAACTAAATCAATCAATCAGTTAATCAATCAATCACCTTTCCATATTTGTGGGATGAGGTCTAATCTGTTGTCGGTATCAAGCGCTTGGAGCAGATCTCTCATGATGTTAGAGCTGGGGTAGTACACCTGCAAACCAGATCGCATCAACCCTAATCAAAGCACTTCATTCCCTGTGTGTTCACATGAAGAAACACAGGAGTATGTTTTACTCACTGAAGGAACAAGATCTCTGTACCACTTCAGCACCACATCAATGTTCTCCATCATACAGAGCAGACTGAAGAACCGCGCACTGAAAGAGAGGACACAAGCAACCTGATATTTAAGAGATTTCTGAAGTTCACGTTATATCGCAGTATTATACTTACTAGTAAATGTTCTGTTGGAGATCATTTCCCAGAAGTCTCCAGTTCTCTCCAACCCCCAGCAGCTCATGAACCCTGTACGCCTGCTCAATGTCCTTAGTGTCAAGACACTGTAGATAGAGATGCCAAACAGGGTCACGTGCCATCCTAAAGTGACAGTTACCATGAAGCAGCGCTGTTGAAAGTTTAAGTGCACTTACTATTCTCACAGCAGTAATGAAGAACTGTGCTGAAAAACAAAAGCAATGAAGGTGTGATTCAACTCTGTAGATTTCTGTAGATGCTTTTACAAAAAGGTATCATTACATGTTGAAGTGTAATAGCTAGGGCCTGTCTCAATACCCACAATTGCGGTCTTGTCCACTTGAGAGTGTGTGCAAGTGGAAGCAAGTCCTGTCTCAGGTCTGAAATATGCCAAATCTCAGTGCCGTTAACACACACTACAGGTGCATCTCAATAAATTAGAATGTCGTGGAAAAGTTCATTTAAGTAATTCAACTCACATTGTGAATGGGTTTTTGTTAAATGTGAGCCAAAATCATCACAATTAAAAGAACCAAAGACTTAAACTACTTCAGTCTGTGTGCATTGAATTTATTTAATACACGAGTTTCACAATTTGAGTTGAATTACTGAAATAAATGAACTTTTCCACGACATTCTAATTTATTGAGATGCACCTGTAAATCCACACTCTCTCTATGGCGAAGCGTTTTTGTTTGTTTTTTCCTGAGGCAAAGCGTATCCCATCATTCATCATGTTCAGGAACTCACGTGCCCGACGTCACAGAATGTTGAGTAAAACTTGTGCAAAGTACTGAAAATCAAAACGTATTAAAGTTCTGTACAAACTTTACTTGCATTTTTACAGTGTGTCCCATTGGCTTGAACACTTGGGCCAAATACTGGGAATATGTCATGTACGTAGAGTGGTAAACGGCAAAGAGCACAAGTGTGGGTACCAAGACAAGGCAGACAGGCCCATAGTGATTTGAACAAAACCTTAGTAAGTAAACACCGCTGTAATAATAAGCAGATACCATCATCAGGGTCCTGTGGAGTGAAGCTCTTCCCTGACACCTCGTTCATCACTTCCTGCAGAATGTCCGTTTGGCCCAGAAATGGGGCACCTGCAGAGCAAAGCATGATGGGAAATGCATGATTGTGTGTTTCTGTGTACATTCAACATGGCCATTTAATTAAGAATTGAAGCAATTGCCATTTTAATGTATAAAATGAGCCTTTATGACCTGGTTTATAAAATATCCCGAGCAAGTGATTGTAAGAGGCCAGACTGGGATCTGAAATCAAAGAAAAAGAACCAATTATACACCAAAACAGGCATCAAAATATCATAAACCACTTCTTTCTTATAGAAGCAGGAATAAAAAATGATCACTCAGCGGACCGATGGAGAGAGCCTTCATCTCACTGATCACAGGAAAGGCCTGAGATTTTCCCAGAGTGCCACAGCGTCTCAAAGCCTTGAGGACAGCGTTCAGCGTCAGGAGGTTCGGCTTGACCTTCTGCTCTGCCATCTCCTTCAAAAGATCCTACAAAACACACACACTGTTGCAGAATCTACTTTAGACAGCGGCTTCACAACTAAATCTATATCACATACCAGTATCAGCTCCCATTTCTCATTGTATTTCTCTTTTACTTCCGGGGCGGCTGTGATCAGGGCATTGAAGGTGTTTACATCGGCTAGAGGAACAAAAGGCAATTCAGCTTCGGAAATGCTCATTTAGAAAATGTTTCATTTTAATTGATTTAAAAACGGAAAAGCACATACTTACCTTTCAGTGGGTTGTTGAGCAGGTCGGTGTAGGTGCTGAACGCTTTAGAATAAGCACCATGCTGTGAAATCAAGCACAAATGCAGTCATCTTCTGCTATCACACTAGAAATTAAATGTATGAGTTGGTGCATCCGTTACCTTCACCATGCCTCGTATCAGAGCACTGTACGAATGTGTGTTTGGCTCTGACAGCAGCGCAAAGATCCTCTCTGCATTATTATTCTCTCTAAAGGAGAAAACAAGACAAGGCGCCCTCTTATGATATGACAGTGTATTTTCTTGACTTTGTATTATGTTATGCAGATACACTACCAGTCAACTTATTTTTATTTTTTTGTTTGATTGAATGAAGTCTCTAATGCTAACCAAGGCTGCATTTATTTGATCAAAAGTACAGTAAATACAGATTTCATATATTGTGTAATATTATCAATATCTAAAATGATAATTTTTTTCATATATGTTATAATGCAATTTATTCCTGAGAAGCAAAGCTGAATTTTCAGCAAACAATACTCCAGTCTATAGTGACACATGATCCTTCAGAAAACATTTTGATGTGCCCAATTATTATTGGTGCTCAATTATTAAGTGTTTCTTATTATTATCAATGTTTTTGTGGAAAAAGTGATACATTTTTAATTCAAGATTCTTTGATTAATTAAAAGTTTAAAAGAATAGCATTTATTTTCAACAAAACCTTTGTAGGGCTGTCGCGATTCGTCGATTTTATTAGACTATTCGATTTTTAAAAAATCCTCGACTTCATTTTGCCTGCGTCGACTAACCGGTAAAATACCGGAAGTGGCGCATTTCACACGAGAATCCATAAAACACATTATTAGACTGTTTTCCAAGGCCTCATGATATATTAAATAAGCATAACTGTGAATTCACAAACGCTACGATTTAATTAAATAATTATATGTGATGCAGTTATAGGCGTGTAGGTTAAGTACATGTGTCTCACAGCGGCTCCGTTCACAGGA